AGAATGAACATACCAACATGACAGCTTTGACATGGCGACGATCAAACTGGAACTCTGCTTCACCAGATTGCATAATTTCCATCATAGTGTCTACGAAGTCTTTATTTTTCTTGTGGTCCTTAGCATTGACATGTTCATCAATAATCTTCTCTACAAATGGATCAAGCACCTTAGAAGTGTCCTTCATTCTACGTGTGAGTCCTTGGAGGTCAATAACACCAAGAAAAGGGAAAAAATCACCAAGATTTGGTGTTGCAGCTAGAGTTGTAACCTCTTGAACTAAATACTTAAATCCCCTTTTGTCCAAATCGTCATCCGTGAACTTTTTCCCAAAAACCATTAAGCAACTCAAGTTGGCACTCAACTTCGACACTTGAGCACTAAGATCAACATCAACACGACGACCTTGAGCTATTTCTTTGATCGATTTGATCATAATGGCAATTTCTTCACTTCTAGTAGATTGGAATGAGTTAATCTTCATGTTACTCAACAAATGGACCGTACACAATTTTCTCATGTTACGCCAATACGCGCCATACTTTGAGAAAATCAAATTCCTTTGGCCATACGATATGTATTGAGCGGTCTCGTTATGAGGCCTACTAGCAAAAATATGATCATAAGTTTTGAGAATTTTTTCTGCTGATTCAGGGGAAGATATAACATAAGTTGGTACCAATCCAAATTTCATGTAGATGATAGGACCATATTTTAGAGAAAATTTGTGTAAATCATGAGTAAGATTTTCACCTAAAAGATGGAGATGTCCTAATATTGGAATGCCTTTTGGACCAGGAGGAAGTTTTTTCTTGTTTTTGATATTTAGTAACTCATAGAAAATGAATAATAAAATTAGAGCCAAAATGAATGTTGCCCACACAAAAGCCATTGCAAATAATAATAAGACAAATAATAGACAATATTTGCAAGTTTGTTGTATGATTTATGGGAAAGGGCACATACTTATATAGGGAAATAAATCATGTGAACGGCGGCCCCTCAATAGTTATTGTGAAAAAGGAAAAGTCTATGTAGTACAAGTTGGTGAACATTGTGTCATAATATTATTGTTATTATTTTGAATAGTTTGTCATTATACGACAACACCAACTAAACAAAACCAAAAAATGAAACGCTATAGATAAACAATAAAATTCATTATTAATTTTTTCTTAGAACAAATTAGTATAGAGAAAAGATTAAGTATTAGTTATGTGCAATTTAGTAACGAATTAGAGATGAAATTCATAGCTAATAATTTCCATTTCTGTAGTAGTATGCTTGCTTTCAAAATCAGGGTGGAGCCAGCTTAGGCTTAGATGTTTATCTGAATCTCTTTTGACGGAAAATTGTACTTTATCTTTTTCAACTTATATGAGTTTGTTTGACTTGACACAAAATTTAAGAAAAAAAGAAAAACTTATGAAATTTGTGGTCTAAAATAAGTGATAGATATTTGTGTCGCTAGAAATCAATCCATCAAAGGCAAAATGAGCATTTTAAAGTTAAATTATTACTAAATATAATAATGTGTCATTCTGTTTGAAAAAGATTAAAAAGGAAAATAAGTCATATATTGAGACAAAATACAATATTATTTATAAATGGTTAATTTTTTTGAATATATATATATATAATAAATATTGAGCACACTTAGCTAATTTGTAAATTTACTTATTCATATTTCTCAAGTTATAATTCTGGCTTCGGCTACTGTTCAAAATGAATCATGCAATTTGAAGTAAGAAAGTCGGATACTTTACCAAAACGTGTTCCTTAGAAAGTACCAAAGTGTTCAAAACACAAACATAAAGATGTTTGACATTGAAATAAAATAGTTATTTATGTTATAGAAATTGTGTAAATGTAAACTTTTGGGATTAGAAAGTAAACATTAGTAACTTATAATACGATCAGTTTTACTGTATAATATTTTTTAACAACCAGGGCAATAATACAGTACAATTTGCTTTAATATATAGTTGTCACTTTGATGTCACAAATGACGCTTTTTATTATTATTATTATTATTATTATTATTTGTTAAAAGTTAAAACATGAATACCTCACAACATCATATCTTACATTAGTTTATTAAAAGTTGAGCATTTTCTTGTGACGTGCATGGCAAATAAAAAAGTAATATGAATATTAAACCATTTGCATGAAACATTCTCTTTTTTTTCTAAGTGAAATTGATCGTTTCCATTTATTATTTTTGGGATTAAGAAAAGCTTCTATATATCTTAATGCCTCTATGTACGTCAGTAGTTATCAAGAGCTATTGGATTGCAACTTAGTTTAATTGAGAATACGATAGTTAAAGCAACATATTGAAGTACTAATACATATCTTCTACAGCTCATTAAGAAATTAATATATCTACTCATCCCGCCTCAAATTATTTATTTCTAAAAAAAAAAATACTCTTTCCATTCATATTTATATGTCGTCCTTATAAAAAAATAAATATTCTTTAATGCTTGTCATTTCACAAAATAAATGACATTATTTTTCCTATTTTACCCTTAAGATTTATGGAAAAATTCTTTTGGCCAGAAAATTTGGCCAGAATGGTACTTTACCTATGTTATTTTACCTTTTAAAATATTTTCACCCTTTTAACTTTAATACATTTTAACTCAAAAATGGAAAAAATTTATTTTAAAATAAAAAAATATTATAGTTTTTTTAAATTTCTGACCAAATTCTGGTTAAATTTTTTGGCCATTTAGCATTATCCGAGATTTATTAGCCTTGAAAATATGTTAAGTAATTAATTCATGTTCATTTATTAAAAGCTTCACTTTACGAGAACCTTAAATAAGGGTACAATGATAAACTTGCTTAGTTTCTTAAGGAGCGTGAAACCTAAACTGGTGACAACTAAATAGGAAATGAGGGAATAGTTATCTAAAACTATTCATCGTTAATTATTGTTTTCCATTTTATTCTTAAAAGTTATTGTTCGTCAAGATTACAAACCTCTCAATTATGAATGATGTTGTAATTGTTCAAATAATAATAATAATAAAAACAATATGTTTGTTAGAATTAGAGACCTAGCGGAAAATAACTTAAAAACTCTTTATTCCTCAATTCTTTTAAGTCATTCCGGTCACATTCTTCTTATGCCACTAAGACACGATTTTCTGAGTCAATTTAAGATTCAAAACTAACAATGTAACTAATTATAGATTCAGCATTTTATTCATTTTTTTTGGAATAAAATTGTATTCTATTTAAAAATAGTATTTGACTGAGAAAATTTCAATACAACTTGATGTTGTATTTGAAATTTGAAAAACAATAAGACCTTATTTTTACTTTTTCACTTTACTTTTAAATTTTTATTTTTTTTAAAAAACCAAAGTATTTATTTATGAAATAACTCAATTTAAATCATATTTCATGTTCAAATACTAATATTTTACAATTTTTTTTAAAATAAAAACTATATTTAGATTCTAAATATTAGCTGCAAAAAATTGGCTGAACACAACTCCAAATCCAACTTTGAAAATTTTAAATAAAGTGATTTTTTTAAAATTTTCATGGCAAAACACCTACGTATTTTAATCTTAAAAACTGATATTATGAGGTCAATTTTTTAAAGGATAAACACATACATCACTACCATATATACTAATTTTACCTTTACTTTCAAACAATTACATATATTACCACTTTTAATATTTATACCATACTATATATTATTGAAGATACAATAAATACTCATGTTAAAACTAGGATTGATTGATTATCTTTACATTTAAACTTCAAAATTAGTATTTTAATTAAAAACAAATATTTTTCTTCAGAGAGTATGAGTTATGGTAAAACTCTAACTCTAACTCATCCTCTTTCCTTGATCAATCGAAATTTACTGAGAAGGAACACTCCATTAAAATGGATGTTCTACCCCTTGTTAACACACACATGAAATTCTTAGCCTTTGATTTTCTCACTCTCAAACTAATCCCCCACGAATCCACCATTTTTTCTCACAAGGGGAGACACCTCTTGCGTGTAGAGACAATGGGTATCGCTGTAAGTAAAGATTTCAAGCCCAATAGATTTATTAAATTCGACATTGATGATGGTACTGGTTGCATACCTTGTATACTATGGATCAACCAAGAAACTTTGCGTCACTTCTCCCGTTGGATCTAGCTAGGCGTAGTGAGCAACACCGATGAATCAAAAGGTGAAGCAAAACCCGCCGTGGTGAGCAGTGGCGGATCCAGGATTTAGAGTCCGTGGGTGCCAAATAGACTTATCGATTAAATTAATTTTATATTTGATTAAATTATCCGTCTTTTCGATATAAATTAATTTTAGTTCTCTAATTTTTCTTAAAAGAACGTGTGCAGCAATTTCCTTTTTCTTAAAAAAACGTCTTTCTCAAAAAAATAGGTACAAATGGGATTCGAACCCGCAACATCAGCCTTCTAAAGTTGCCCTCCTACAGTGGCACCACAAGCCAATTTTGTTCTGTGGGTGACACGCTTTATATAAATATAAATATTATATATATACCTATGTATATATAGAGTTTCCGTCGAAGTTCGGGGGTGGCGTGGCACTGGCCCCCACACCCCTTAATAGATCCGCCCCTGGTGGTGAGATGCCTTGACTAGCCACAAACATAATCATAAAGTTTTAATAAGCGGAGATTTACGCATGTATTGACACATTATTGATGTAACCGATACATTATTGAGATACAATTATATGTATCTAATTTTTATCAGTGTATCTTATTAAGTGTATATGTATCTAATGAATACACTGGAGATTTACGTATAATTGGAAAGTGTATCTCATTAAGTGTGTATGTATTTAAATATATTGGAGATTTACGTATTATTGGAAATTTACGCATGTATTTGACACAATTTGTTCGGTCATGTATCCGAGTCTCATCATATGATCTAGCCTCCTATCATGTATCTTAATATTATCATATATATTTGTTATGTTATTACAATGTATCTAACTATTTTCGTGTTTATCTTAGTTACATGTCTTTGAATATAACGCATGAAATTGATACTTGATACATCAAATTATACATATAAAAGGTACATGAAATAATATTATTTCACAAAATAACAAATGAAATTAATTAAACACAGATACACTCCTTGAGGTTAGTTTATATGTTTCTCATTTTTTGTCTAGAAAATCGGTCTCGTAACTCGTAAGATCAATTTTCTTTTTAAAAAATGAACAAGGAAATTGATTTTCGACTTCAGTTGGAGGTTGAGTTTCTACTAATATTTAGTGATGTCATTATAAGTGGAAGATTATGTACCTTGTTTCTATTAAAATGTACAAATAACTTGCTATAAAATTATATTGTTACAAATATAATTTCAGATCTCATCAAATATGAAAAGAAGGTTATTCTTCTCATGAGATTTGAGAATAGTCATTGGTTGAATGGCCTAAAAGTTTGGTTGACTAATTGTAAATATGTGAAATTTTCATGAGTCAATAAACCACTGCTATGGCTTTTTTTTGTTTACACAGAGAAAAAGAAAAGCAGTTTTGTTTACTAATTTGACTTTTAAAACAATTAGAAATGAGAAGGTTCAGCTGTAATTTTAATTTTTTTTTGGGGGGGTAAGTATAATACTTAATTAATGTAATTGTTTGGGAGCTGATCAGAGTTATCCAGTTATTAGGAATGTAAGAATTAGTTTGGAAAATCAAGAGATAATTTATCTTTTTTGTTTATTTTATCCTTGTTATTAAATACTATTCAATATCTAATACATTTTTCAAAGCATTAAATTCAATATGTTTAAAGAGTAATATAGTAATATAACTCCTATTATTTATTGTTTCTTAAATTGTGCGCCAAGCCAATAGTGGACAACTGCT